CCGTCCCGCTCCTTTCCCGGTTCCTGGAAAAGTGTTTCCCAGCTCCATAATTCATCCCGAAATTCAAGTGGCATCTTTGCTATGTTTGATGACACGAGAAACAATCATGGCTCCTATTGTGTTCCAGCACTTGCCAATAATAGACAGACTTTTAAAGAGCTTGGGACACCGTGCCAGGAAAGCAGCTGAACAAAAGGTCTTCTGTATTTTGTCAGTAGAAGCGGAGTTGTGAGGGGCGGCACAATGTGCGTTTTCACTACCGAGAAACTTGCATAATGATTTTCTGCCTCTTTAAAGGCCTGAATCTATTAAGGCTTTGTAATTGGTAAAGAGTAATACACGATGCAAATGGAAAGTATTATCCATCCTCAGCACCCGCTCTGTGCTCTCTTTTATCTCGGAACTGCTAAAATGTCTCAGTTAACTAGGAATAAGAATTCAGAGTAATCAGTGTGTTACTCTGTATCTAAAAATGCAGAGGCAAGTTTTAGGGAAACACACCAGGTTATTAATAATAGTCATCTCTGGGTTGTTCTTGTAGACTCAGATTTTCTATAATGAATATATGCCAACTTTTAAAGCAGACAATTTTTCAATCAGGTTAGAATACATAAAGTTTTATAAAATACATAACTACAATTATATTAAAATGTGTACATGGCAGAAATTGTTAATAGTTGGTTGTTTCTTTTTCCCCAGATGTAGAGAAAAGAACTTTTTTCTTTCTTCTACTTTTTGGAATGTTCTGATTTTTCTGTAACAGTCATTGTATTCGTCAGCATTCTTGATGATAAATGACAGAAATAGACTCCAGCTACCTTGCGCAGGAGAGGATTTATTGTAAGAACATTAGGTAGTTCCAGCATCCTTTGGAATGCTGGAGGCTAAGGAAGGTTTAGCAGGAGGGAACTCAGCCAAGGTCAAACTGCAGGGATGGTGTGGTTAGGAGGCTGCTGCTGGCGCTGCCACCCGTCACACACAGCCATAGCCGGCACTGCCACCTGGCACACACGGCCACAGCCGGCGCTGCCACCGGGCACACACAGCCATAGCCGGCACTGCCACCCGGGACGCACGGCCACAGCTGGCAGCTGCCACCCTGGCACGCATGGCCACAGCCGGCACTGCCACCCGGCACACATAGCCACAGCTGGCATTGCCACCCCAGCATGCACGGCCACAGCCGGCACTGCTGCCAGACTCAATGCCTGCACCGCCACTGTAAACATTGTCTTTCCCGTCCCTGTCTGCATCACTCTCTCAAGGTCCAGATTCCTGGGCAGGATCATCTGACTTGCCAGCATTCATCACATGGCCATGTTCTAGCTGCCTGGGTGCAGGCAGAAAGACTGTCAGGCTCCAGACCGGGTGCCCCCAAAATTCATACAGTGGGGATCTTCCCCAACAGGTAGGGTGATCCAATGCAGGATGGCACAAAAAAAGACACATGGCCACAAGCAGGTATTGTGATTATTTTTTATTATTTACAATGGCCCAAATCATACTGCAGAGCTGATCTAAGAAAGGCTCAAACTGCCACAAGCAGGCATTGCTTTTACAGTGGAAAAAAAATGAATGAACCTTTTCTTTTTTGGTAAAAGACTCTTTGTGTCATAAAACATGGATCAGAGTGGATTTAACTTCACACAGTATGGGTTGAAGAACACAGTTTGCTGGGGCAAGTTATAAGCCAGGGCTCAGTAAGTGAAGGCGCGGGTGCCCCATTCTCCCATCGTCCCAGACAGGTGTGCCTCAGTCGGATGCAGTGAAACAGAGGGGGTCTGTGTTTCGTTGGGAGGGACTTCATGTCCTCAGTTTCTCTCTTTCTTATAGGTGCAACTTTGTCAGTGGAGGTAAAATCAGACTTCTCAAGTATGGGGCAGTAGGAATTTGGAGTTCCAAGAGTTACCCAGGAAGGCTAATTTTCCAGTAAGCAGGAGGATCCTCTTGGTGGGTAGAAGGGGTCAGTGAGGGAGCCTGTGGGTCATAATACCCAAGTCTTGGCCCAGGTAAGAGCATGGGTGTGCTATTCGGAGAGCTGAGGAACACAGGGAGAGGAGAGGCAGGTTGAGGGGAATGGTGAGTTCAGTTTGGGGCTTCCCGGGTCTGGCGCACATATAAGTTAACCCCATGCAAGGTTAAGGTATGATCCCTGTTATAAACTCGCACAGCAGCCTGAGGGTCTCCTTTGCATTGCTTATCCCAACCACAATTAGATCAATAATTTCATAATCAGTGTTGAATCTCTGCTCTGGATTGCAAGCTCCCTGGGGCCATCACACACCCAGGTCTAGCCACTTTGCTGCTAGAACCCCACCCAGCACCTGGCATAGGGCCAGGCATAGGTAACCAATAAATGTGTTGACTCAATAAGTGAATCCACCTGGAGCAATGAGGCAGGCAGCTGGATATACGGATAGGAAATTGAGAGAAATACCTGGACTGAAACTGTAGGTTCAGAAAAGTCCTGCGTGTGGATAGCAACGGAATCCAGGGCTCTGGGTGAGCTGGCCCAGGTGGGTTGAGAAAATCGAAAGACATTAGCTCGAACTCTGGGAAACACCAGCATCCAATGGGTGCAAGAAACAGGTGCTGCTGGAAAGGCAGACAGTTAACTAAGGGACAAAGGTGTTGCGGAAGCTAAGGGAAGGGAGAGTTCTGGGTACGAGGAACCAAACACTGCTAGGTCTCGGAATAATATACCCTGATGATTGTGAAGCATCTGTGCGCTGGGTACTCTTCTGGCAGCTCTATGTGTATGAATGCATTTAATTCTCACAGCAACCACGTGATAATTAAGGAAGTAATGTCATCATCACTTTCTTCCTATGGTGAAGATACTGAGGCACGGAGAGAGGACCCAGCTAGGCTACCTGGTCTCTGAGCCTGTGCTCTTAACCGTGATCTATGCCACCTCAGAGAAGGGGTAGCAGATAAGTCACTGGTAACATTGGCAAGAGCAATCTTGGTGGCACTGTGGGGGTGATGCCACATGGAGTTTGAGCATTGAGATGCCAAATGCTCAAAAAGTGGGTAGGAAGCAAAAGAGTCAAGGGTGGAAAGTCCAGCCCTTTGCTACCAAGAGGGGTCCAGCGGCAGCACCACTGCCTGGACTCTGTGTCTTCGGGTGATGTGTGTGCCTGGTGACGTCTGAGCAGCACTGGGTGAGATGATTCCTTTAGGAACTTTGGCTGAGAGGAAAAAGAAAAGGCAAAATAGGGTGTTTAAGTGAGGGGCATTTCTTTTTCGGATGGGAGAGGCATGACCTTCCTTTAAGCTCAGAACTGTGGTTTGCAGCCTCAACAGCATATTCAAATCACCTGGGGAGTTTTTGAAAAACAACTGATTCCCTGAGGCTCACCCCCAGAGAATCTGATGGAGTTTGTCTGTGTGGCCCAGAAGATTCTAATGTGGGGTGGGGTGGTCTGAGACACACTCAGGGAGAAGGCACAAGTAAAGGACAGGATGAGACCTCCCCAGGGAAATGAGAAGGGATGCCACAAGGATGAAGAAATGAACAGGAGATGTTTTGGAAAAGGAGGAAAAGCCGTCAGAGCAGAGACAGAAATTTACAGAGGGTAGGGGTGTCAAGAGAAGGTAGATGTTCAAGGGGAATCATATTTGAGAGCCGTGATTTTCCTTTCTTAACAGTTTTAACTAGGACCCACCTGGTATGGCAAGAATAGCCCTTGAAACACTTAATCAGACGGTGTTGCTGGTCTGCTCAAAGCCTTGTGCCTGGCTTAGTCGGCTGCTGGTGATCCGGCCCTGCTGACCTCCAGCGCACCAGGCTCTGTGTTCCCCTTCCCGCAGCACAGTGACCATGTTCCTGCCTCGGGGCCTTTGTCCTTGCTGTTCCCCTCGCCTCCCTTGGGTCGCCGCCAATGCCCTCTCCTCAGAGAGGATTCCTCTCATCACTGCCTTTCCTCTGAATTGTTTTCTAACACGACCGCGTGTCATATACAAACTCGCCTGTTTGTTTATGGTCCGCCTCCTCTGCCTGAACATAGGCCGTGGGAGGAAGGATGTCTGTTGCTCACAGCGGAATATCCGCCACCTACAGCAGTGAGGCACAGAGGTGACACTCGCGGCAGGTTTGACGAGTGAATCAGTGGCCGTCGCTGCTGCTGGGTGTAAGTGCACAGGATGCCGAGAGTGGCGGGGGAAAGTGATGAGTGGGGGAGATTGCAGGAGAGCGAGCTGATTAAAGACAAGTGAATGGGTATCCTTAAGGGCCCGGTCAAGGAGGGCGTGCAGGCTTATCATGGCAGGAAAGACAGCAAGCAGAGGCAGCCTGTCATGTGCCTGGGGACGCGGTTTTTGCACTAGGCCCGCTTACTACGCGTGGCTCCGGGCGAGCTTCTTAACCTCTCGAAGCCTCAATGGCCTGATCGGTAACACGAGGCTGATATGCCTTCCACTAGGGTTGTGGTGGGGGGTAAACGGACGCATGCAGCCTGGCACCGGGCCAGCACCCAGTCATTAATCGCGGTGATGGATTCGAGGTCGGGGGAAGAGTGTGAAACGTGGCGGCGCGAAGAGAGGTAATCGCTGCGAATCTCGGTCCACAGCGGACCGCCCGGGACAGGCCTGGCTCCCAACCGCGCGCGCGCACACACGCGCCTCCGCCCGGCCGACGCCGGCGCCGGCCTCGTCTCCTCCCCGACTCTCCCGAGCGCGGGCCCGGCGCCCGGCGCCACGCGCGTCCCCAGGAGCGTTTGCTCACTGCGCTGCGCACCAGCACTGCGGCCAGGAGCTGCGCCTGGTCGGGAGAGACTCGCGTCCCCGAGCCTCCCGGGGAAGTGGGCTAGGTGGAAACACAGCGCGCGGAGGGCTCCGCGTCACCGATAAGGCTGTCACGGTGAACGTGAGTCACGGGACGAGAGCGGGCTCGGGCTGCCGGAGCCTCCCGAGGGAGCCAGCCGCAGCCGCGGGCGGCCGGAGGCCGGGAAGAGGCGGGAGGCGGTGTCTCCTTTAAGAGGCGTGGCCTCGCGGCGGCCTCCGCGAAGGTGATTGGCTGAAGCGGCCGGCCGCGGGGGGCGGGACCCGGTTGCCAGGGAGCGGCGCGGGCGCCCCGAGGGGACTGCGGCGGCTGCGCGGAGGCGCGCGGCGCTCGCTGGGGTCGGGGCGGCGCGACGGCGCAGGGGCTGCGGGAGGCGCCGCGCAGGCAGGGCCGTTCCGGGCGCAGAGGCGCCGCCGCCATTGCCGCTCTCTCGGTGAGCGCAGCCCCGCTCGCCGGGCCGGGCCTCCGCGGGCCACCGGCGCCATGGGCCAGTGCGGCATCACCTCCTCCAAGACCGTGCTGGTCTTTCTCAACCTCATCTTCTGGGTGAGCGGGGCCGGGCGGGGCGAGGGGCCGGCGGCGGGGCCGGGCGGGGCGCGGCGGCCTGGGGGCCGGGGCCGGGGCCGGGGCCGGGGCCGGGGCCTGGGCCTGGGCGGGCGCGCGGGGGGCGGCGCTCAGGCGGCTGAGGCCAGGGGAGGGCCGGGTCCGAGGCCGCTTCGCGGGGTCCCCGCCGGGCCGAGCCGGGCGCCCGGGCGCGGAGGACGTTGGAGGGGGCGCCTCGGGGACTCCAGGGCCTCCGGCTCGGCCCGCGCGGGCTGGCTCCGCGCCAGGGGCCCCCGTCGCCCGCTGGAGCCGCCGGCTGGACGGAGGGCGCTCTTTGCAGGCTCTCCCAGGACGGCGGGCCTGACACGGGGTCTTCCCCGGAGGCGCGGGTTCCGCGCGCTCTGCCGGGGCCCGCAGTCCGGGGCCGTCCCGAGGAGGGCGGACGCGCGGGGAGGCCGCGGAGCCGGGGAGGGGGTTCCTCTTGGCGCCCTTTGTGTTTGGAGAACCGGCTGGCTCTCACCAGCCCGGAAAAGGAAGCGTTTCAACGCGAGGAGCCAAATAATCCATGGACCAAGATCATGGGTCTGTTTGTTTTGGTCACGGGGATGACCAAACCGTGAGATGATAACCCTGTGTCATGATTGAGCTGTCCCAAGATTTTAAAAGCGGTGGGTTCACTGTCAATAGAAGGAGGCTTAGGACTTGTTAGGGGGCACGCCCCCGGAGAAAGGGATGTTTGTAACCACGTCGTCTTAGTTCGGGTTCTTATCTGACCAGGGACTTTTATAGTAAGTAACCTATGCTGTTCCTCTCCGTCTCTCCACCCTCCAGTCCATCTGGACCTTGCACCCGGATAAACCTTTTAAAACGTTTCCTCCATCACACCACTTTATCTAAAAATGAGGAAAACAAAAGCTTCAGCGGTGGAATAAGGTTCGGCTCCTTCACCTGGTCTTGCAGCTGAAGTCCTCAGTCTGGTCCCTAATCACCTTGCCTCTCTGAACCTGGCATTTCCTTAAACACTTGCGTGCCCTGGACAGGTTGCTCTGTCCACAGTCCCCCAGCACTCCTTGAACATTCCCGTTAGCCTTACTCTGTGCCGCCGCCTCTTCCTCCCGCGATGGTCACTGGTCCTCATTCAGCTCTTCCCTCTCACGCATACACACACCTGTTCAGGAAAGAATCCTTTCCTCCTCCCTGCAGCCCCCAACAAGAGATAAAACTTCATATCCTGACAGCTGTCCCATAAAAGGATGCTTCTGTATTAAAAAGCACTCACTACACTCTTGTATTGCCAGAATCCTTCAGGGCATTTGTGTGTGAAGAAGAATCCTGACTGGGAGGTAGGACCTGTTTGCAGCCACCCAGGCGACATTGGGACTTCCGTGATTTCCTCTTTTCCAATTACAGCGGTGTTTTTTATACTTTAGTTTGAGTTACAGGCCTTTTTATTTTATTTTTCAGTTTCATGAATTTATTGTGCAGAATAAAATGCACATACAGAACCAGTTCCATTAAGCAAAAGTCAAGTCAGTCTCCTCTTTGAAGGTGTGGCACGATTTGTGAATCTGACCATTATAACTGCATCTCTTGCTAATTTAATACATATCTATATACCTGCTGCTACTTTTGCATCCGTAACATTTTTTATTCCATAAAGAAAAATATCTTCTACGATGATTAAGTCACTAACTGATAGCATCTTGTTATAAACCAGGAGTCAGCAGTCTCCGATCCAAGAGCACAAAACGGTTAGCTACCTGTTTTTCTACAAAAACAGGTGTTCTCTGAGAGCTGAGAATAGCATTTACATTTTTAAATGACTGAAATGGTATTCTTCTTTTCATTTGTTTCATAACTGAAATAGTATTACGTTTTTAAATGACTGAAAACAAATGAAAAGAATATTATTTCTTGACATGTAGAAATTATATGACATTTTTCTGGGACCCAGTAATCCCAGTACTGGGTAAATACCCAAAGGAACAGAAATCATTCTATTATAAAGATACATGCACACATATATTCACTGCAGCACCATTCACAATAGCAAAATATGGAACCATCCCAAATGTCCATCAGTGGTAGACTGGACAAAGAAAATATGGCACATATACATCATGGAACACCATGCAGCCACAGAAAAAGAACGAGATCATGTCTTTTGCAGGGACATGGTTGGAGCTGGAAGCCATCATCCTCAGCAAACTAATGCAGGAACAGAAAACCAAGCATCGTGTTGTTTTTGTTTTTGTTTTTGGTTACAGCCTCTTTTTAAAAGGAAAAATAATTTTCAGAAGTCCCCAAATGAGAAACACTTTGTTAGCTAGTAAGCTACTTAAGAGGCAGAGATGTGGCTTTGTACTCTTGACAGTTCCTTGTGAATTTATGGCCATAACTCCTTGATTTTGAAGAATATTAGGTGACTTCTAGGTTATTCAAGCTCAGGGACCAGAATTGTTCATGTAACAAAATATTGGAAATACGGTAACCATTTTCTTTAGATTTTTAAATAACTCTAAAATACAGTAATTTAAAAATTACTCTAAAATAACAGTTCTAAGTGATTGCTTTGAATCTTTGGATATTATGTAAATATGTGTACTATTATTCCAGTGAAGAAAGTTATTTTGAACTTAAGTGGTGCTTTTTATTGTGGGTTAGTGCCAAAAGTGAAGTCGTGCTGTTTAGTAACAATGCCGTTTATCTTGGTTAGTAGGGTAGTAAAGTTTGTGTGAGCTTTCATAAGGAAGTTAAGCAGATATGCCGGGGGCAAATGCGGCATAGTGAAAGGTAACTAATGAGGAAACGGCATTAGGTATGTCTCCCAACAAACTATTAGTTTATGGACTGACTGTGGGAATCTGATGATGATGGGTAATGACAATTAACATTTGAGTGCTTACTACACCCCAGACATTGTGCTAAGCACATTACATAGTGTATCCTCGCAGCGTTCCCATCTGGCAGGGAATATTATGTGTGTTTTACAGATGAGAACATTAAGGTTGACTGAGCTAAAGTAGCACACCCAAGGTGTGGTAGAGCCTGCGTTCAAATCCAGGTTGTCCCATACTCCAGACTGTGGTGCCAGGACAGTGTGATTTCAGGAAGATTTGTAAAGAGAAGAAACTTGTTAGAATCAGTTCTCTAAAGCATACTGATTTTCACATTGCTAAAATTAGAAACTGCATCCAGTATTTACATGACGCTTTGTGTTGAATGAAGTCATTATGAGGAAGTACATTAAAAAATATTAAAACTCTTCCTGGGAGTTTGTAGTGCATTCTTCAGTTCTAATAAGTATATTCCTATATAGTGCCCCCCCCCCACCTTAATGCCTTGAGATGTGTAAGTGGAAAAATAAACATTCTCTCCATAGAGCCTTATCAGAAGTTTACCTAGGTTCCCTTGGGCAGCTGTAGGCAATAAAAACTTTAACTCTGTTGCACGGGCTCTTCGCTGTCCGATGGTAATGACTGATTGTTAACAAGTGTCAAAGTTTAATTGCTTTGGCAAGACCTTTAAACTACACCTTCTTATATCTTGATATCCTGATTCAGCTGGCAGTTTGTTCACTGAGGCTGTGATGTGGAGATAGATATATACCTGAAATACTCAGGCTCTAAATGATGTGACAGCTAAAATCGTTATTGTTGATTTGGTGTAGATAGTTTGGAACAATGCTGTAAGAATGTTACTGTGGAAAGCAAAACCAAAAGTGGAAACAATCATTTCAAAAATCCTGAAGTTTGTCTTCATGGAAATAGGTAATTCCTGCTATGTTAGCATGTTTGTCCTTTCTAAACTCCTGTTGAAACTTAATCCGCAATCCGCGGTGTGGCAGTTTTGAGAGGTGGGGCCTTTAAGAGGTTATAGGGTCATGAGGGCTCTACCCTCCTGAATGGATTAATGGGTTTTCATGGGAATGGGACTGGTGGCTTTATAAGAAGAGGCAGAGAGACCTGAGCCAGCATGCTCAGCGCCCCCTCACCATGTGAGGTTCTGGGCCACCTCAGGACTCTGCAGGAGGCCTTCACCAGATACGACCCCCTTGACCTTGAACTTCTCAGCCTCCATGTATGTAAAAAATTCCTTAAATTAACCCAGTTTCAGGTATTCTGTTCTAAGCAACAGAAACAGACCAAGACAGTTTCTCACCAAATTCTAGGATATTAAGGATTTGTAGCTTGAAAGATAATCTTGGACAAGTGAGAGGTCGTACAACTTGGATCTCTGTTTTTATGGAGTAATGTAGCTTTAAGTATAAATGTGTTCATGCTAGACTCATGAGGATTTATTGAAGAAGCCTAGAAGTGTTTGGGATAAATGACCAAATTTTAATGGCTATTGTATTAAAAAGTCATTAGCCCATGCTGTAAACTGTACCTTTGTACCAAGGTCAGACAGGATTTTTAATTTGGTAGATCATATCTGACCAAAGAGGGTTCATCTAAGACAAGTTTAAATCAGTACTTCCTAATATAAGTTTTTATTCTGGTAAGTTATTGATTAGTTAATCAAGTCCTATGTTGTACAAATTTTTTTTTTTTTTTTTTTTTTTTTTTTTTTTAACCATATGAGAAAAACTAGTTGGCTAATACTTATTTTGCTCATACTTATCTTAGTCATTACAGGGACTGTAACAGAAAACTTTGTTCATGCTTACATAATTTATAATCTTAAATATCTAGGTTGCTGTTTTTCATCTGAGAGGTGATAGTATAACACTGAGATGCCTGTGGACTGGGGGAAGTACCACAAAAAAGTCAAACACCTTTTAAATAAATGCCTTTAGAAATAGCTTTGGAACATGGCACCTTCACTAATTCAGTCATATGAAATACTTTATGCATACAAATTGTATTTGAAAGCCGTATGTAACCTTTAACACTTATCCTGCTTTAAAAAACAAAAGTTACCACAGACTTACATGTCTGTGAATGTATAATTAAGGAAAATTTGCTTTGTTAAACAAATATAACACTAGTATTTGAGCACCT